CTGTTCTCTCATGTCCCCACTTTGGAAAGGACAGCGCCAAAATTCAGAAACAATCAAGCAAGGCCTGGGTTCAAGGTCTTCTTCGGTCACCCCTGGTCTCCTGCCGGCCCTGACGCCACCCCATGAGGTTGCCTGTCTCAGCACTTGAAGGCACCGCTCAATAAGCCTTATTTCCACTGAGGGCTAGAAACTTGAGACGTTGGATCCAGTTTCATCCTCAGGGGGATGGATTCAGAAGCTGATATGAAGCGTGACAGAACAGACAGCAGTGGTAGCTCAAGGTAGCTCAAGGGGATAACAGGCTCAGACATGCAGGGATGCTGAGTTACAGACGCCAAAAGGGCTTGTCTTACGGCGTTGTGGGGGTGAAAATCAGCCAAAATTTCTAAATGGACTCTCTGAAACGTGGCAAACAGGCTGGCCAAAGTTGGCCAAAATGGCTAAATGGACTCTCTGAAACGTGGCAAACAGGCTGGCCAAAGTTGGAGACAGCAGGGAGAGAGGAAGGCCCAGTGTGGGATGGACAGAGCCCATAAAGGAAGCCACCAGCTTGCCTTTGCAAGAGATTAGCAGGGCTTTGGAGGACAGGACTTTACACATTTCCTGTCCGACCGCCCTGCTCAGTTCTTGCAAACTCAAGCTTGTGGTTTCCTTTACGGACTCTATCCATTCCATCTTCCGTCCTCCTCTTTTCCTGTAGTCCGTCAGTTAGACCGACAGGAAAGAAGGAACAGATCGATCTGGTGTGCTAGATAGATACGTTTATTTACTGTATTTTTTTAACCCGGCCGAAGGCACATGTTGTGGGGAGCTCAGAACCGGCGTTTGGTCCAGCCGGCGTCTCTCTCCGGGAGACTGGCGACTGTCGCCGTTGAAAAGGCGCCCTGGCGCCCGCCCGGGTTCCCTTCTCTGGGCCACCAGCCCACGATCTGGAAAGCCCGCACCCGGCTCGGCCCGGCGATTGCTTCGCCGCCGATTCGCTTTGGGGAGGCGGAGAAACTCTTCCAAAGGGGACATTTGTTTTCTGTCATGTACCTGATTCTGCACTGAACATCTGTATTCCCACCCCCATTCATGCCATGTTCACCTTGTGCCTATATATTCAATGACAAATCCAGGGCTTCGTGTGCTTTTTAGTTTAGTGCTGCACGGCGCCGCGGAGCCGCCGGGGGGAATCCTGGAGGCCGGGGAGGGGGTTTCCAGAGGCCATAAAAGCCACCCCCGGGGACGCATGGCTAGGCAGGGCCGGGCACTAGCCGGGCTTGCTGACCTCCTTTGCCCCCGCGGCGGCCGGGCGGGGCTGCCTTGGGCCACTCGCCCTAATCGCCCCCGCCGGCTGCTCGTGCGCTCCAGCTGATGCGCCCAAGCCGGTGCGTTTTTACGCACGGGCGGGCGAGCGAGCGACCCCGACGCGTTTTTGCGCACGACCGGGAGGCTCCGCTCTCGGGCTGCGCGGTTTGGGAAGGCAGTGGGGTCCCGATCCGCGACCATGGGCGACCCCGAGCCGCTGTCCCTGCGCGCCCGCCTCAGTTACTCCGTGGGCCACTTCCTGAACGACCTGTGCGCCTCCATGTGGTTCACGTACCTGCTGGTCTATTTCCACTCCGTCTTGGGCTACAGCACCCGCCACGCGGGGGTGCTCCTGCTGGCCGGGCAAGTGGCCGACGGCGTGTGCACGCCCTTGGTGGGCTACGAGGCGGATCAGGCCGGCGGCTGCGGACGCTACGGCCGGAGGAAGTCCTGGCACCTGGCAGGTAAGCCTCGAGTGTAACAGGCGGCGGGGGCGGGGGCAACTTCGTCAAAACCACCACCCCATATCTAGAGCCAGAAGGGTCGGTTGGGGGGCTTGGCTGGATTTGGGAAGGCTGACGTCTAAAAGAAAAGTTCTTGAACTACAAGTCCCATCATACAGATGTTGAACTACAACCCCTATCATGTCCAGCCCAGTGGCGGATGCCCCCTAGCCCATTCCTGTTTTCAGAGTTTTGCCCCCCAGGATTTGGAAGGAAGGGTTTGATTCGCACCAGAGCTCCGAAGCTCTCCAAAGGAGCAGAGGCCGGTATGCGGGTTTCAGCTCGCCTACCTCATAGGGCCGTTGTGAAGAGAACAGAAAGGATTGCTGTGAAAGGCCTCCTCGAGACTCTTTGAGGGAAGGCTGGGTAGAGAAGTGAGGGGTGATGGGTACTGTAGTCCGCTGTGAGTGTCTTTGCACTGTAATTGGCATGGTTCCAGCCCAGAGGAATCTGGGGTTTGTAGTGCGACGTCTGATCTGGAATGAGCTGCCTAATCTCTCTGGATGCTGAAACTTGGCTAAACCCAGTCTGTTGTAATTGAGGCGTGTCATGAGGAGATAAGACTTACTGGAAAAAGCAAGTAATGCTAGGAATAATGCAGGAGGCAGAGAGGAGGGTGGATGTGAGAGGGATGGATCCACGCACAGAACCCACAAGTTTGCAGGATGCCGGGTAGCCATGGCCCCTTCTCGGGGTCTTGAACATCTCTTAGGAGAGGCTCTGTCGCGCAGAAAAACAGCAAGCCAAGCCCTCGGCTTTTGTGCTTCCCCCCCCCTTGTGTGAAATGTGTCACCCCTGCAGGACAGGCCTCGCTTTGGGATGGGTCTTCCTCATTGGAATTAAACATTTGCTGGTGGTATTGTTTGTAGCTGCGTGAGCCTCTAATGTGATGGCTCATCATCCAGTGAGTCAGACAACGTGGAAATCTGCTCTTTATCAAAAGTCCATTGCCCTCCCCCCCCCCCCCCC